AGGCCTATTTACAGGGCCAAAGCTGATGTGGGCATGAAGGTGCATTGGCGAGGAACAGAGATTATTGAAAGATGTGGAGGATGATGGATGCACATTGTTGTCAAGGATGTGAAAGATTGGAGCAGACAAATTGTGGAATGGGAGGGTCGTTTACATGGACAGGTATACTCATTAGGAAATATTTCCGGTCAACCAACAGTGCTGTAAAGGCAATTACGCCTGGATAAAGCCATTCTCATCTTCCTTAAGGTGCTGAGTTCCCCAAGACCCGGAAAACCTGGCTGCCGTTAAAAATAGAATGGCCACTAAAATGAAAGCACACAATATATTTAAATAACCAATACAGTTTCCATGAGCAGCTGCCCCTTGTTCTGCAAGCCCAAAGTGAGTGGATTTTTGCATTTTGATCTCTAATATGGCTCCACTATTCTTGACAGTTGAGATTCAGCCTTAAGTTTCCAAAGGATACTGAATCTCCACAATTCTGCACTTGTTTTGATGCTACAAATAACAAATGCACAACACAAATCTTTGACGACTTCAGCAGCACGGTAGCTCAGTGGTTAGCACTGCTGCCTCACAGCACCAGGGACCTGGGTTCAATTCCAGCCTCAGGCGACTCTCTGTGTGGAGATTGCACATTCTCTCTGTGTCTGCATGAGTTTCCTCCAAGCACTCCAGTTTCCTCCCACAGTCCAAAAATGTGCAGGTGAGGTGGATTGGCTTTGCTAAATTGCCTATAATGTCTAGGATGGGAAATGCAGGAATAGGATAAGGGGTGGGTATGGGTGGGATGCTCTTCGGAGGGTTGGTGTTGACTTGATGGGCCAAATGGCCAGTTTCCATACTGTAAGGATTCTATGATTAAATCTTTGAAATTAAAAGGACATCATGCTGCAAATTTTGGGAGTAGCAAGCAAGAAGATAAAAAGACAGCACAAAAAGCTGATTAAAAACAATCAGTGTATTTGTAATGCTACAAACAAATTTATTTTTGGGAAAATAACTGATAGGCAGTAAAACTAAACATAGTTCCTCCTTTACTTGTTAAATATGATGTCCACAACAGAATCTATTTTAGTTTGCTAAACTTTGCAAATGCACAGTTCAAATATTACTTTATAAAATTCAGTACCAAGGTGATCTTATTTTAGATGCCTACAAAATGTATGACAACAATTCAGAACAGGAAAGCAACGGTAAATAATTATATTGCCCATGTTTTGACTCCCTTGTTTTATATTATTGTCTATGGTTGTTTTATATTATTCTATGGTTGTTCAATCAATATTGGCTGCTAAACTCCTAGACAACCCATCTTAAATCAGATCTTCAACTGAACAGAATGCATTTCTGGGACTTGGTGTAGACTAGTCCAAAGACTACAGAGCAGCTCGATGTTAGCCTGATACACAAATTATAGCACTTTTCATGATATATAGTAAAATTGTTACCACCTTGGCCAATAGTATCCAAAATTTCATGATATGTACAAAACGTACCACCCCATCATTGTGGTACACCGCTAACTCACTTAAGAATACAGTTTTCCATAATAATATTGCGCTTTGCAGTGCACCAACACCTTTCATTGTAATACTGCTGCTAAGTTGCTTTGCACAAAGGCACCCATTTCATGCATTGGAGCAGTCTGCATCTCAGGGCTCTTTGCTTTCTTATTACTCACTCACCTCTCACCTATTGACAAAATCTTTGTCTTGCTTCTTTTTGCGCTGTACCCCCTCATTCAGACCTTCTAGGTTCATACAGTACTTATATTTTGCGATAACAAGGTGTAGAGCTGGATGAACACAGCAGCCCAAGCAGCATCAGAGGAGCAGGAAGGCTGACGTTGCGGCCCTAACCCTTCTTCTGAAGAAGGGTCTAGGCCCGAAATGTCAGCCTTCCTGCTCCTCT